GAAGAGGAAGGGCCGCCCTGCAAAACCCTTACTTACGCCTACAAAACCCGCTAATTACTCCTCTATCCCCACCATCAACCGCCGATCCACTCGCCGGAACCCTAATTTCAACAATTCCAATTCTCCCCAGCCGGAATTCGATGACGACGACGACGAGAGGCAGGAGAAGAAGGTGAAGCTCGTTGTTCGCTTGCCTCAATCGGGTTATGATGTTAATCAGAAGCAGAACCAGAGCCCGCATTCTCGAGATTCGGATTCGAGTTCGGGCGAGGATGGTGAGGATTCGGATGCCGAGGATGGAGAGGATGAGGAGGATTGTGTTAAGAAACGCAAGATCAATGCCGTTGATTACAGATCCAGCGAAGATGTATCCAATTCCAATCAGGTTTGGAATTTATATAAATTTTTTTTTTCGAAAAAACTCAAAATGGGGTATTTGTATTTTTTGGGAAAAAAATTGAGGTTTAAGAAAGTTACACTCAAAGTTTTGGCACGGATTTTGAAAATTTGCATTGAAATGATTTTACTATTTTGGGAAAATTTGACGCGGGCCATTTTATTTTGGAAAAAAAAATTTGAGGTTTTTTCTCCGTTTTTCGAGTATGCGAATTGGAGGGGGAGTTTGAGATTTCGCGCGTGAAAATTAACGTTTATTTATTTTATTTTTTTGGTTTTTTGGGTGCTCTGACTTCCAAGATCTGAAGTGGGAGCCTGTATTTTGACTCAGTCAAATTTCTTTCTGTGTTTGTTAAACTATAAATAATATATCTCTGTATATTTTTTATATAAATTCTTCTACTTTTTCGAGTTTCTATACATAGATACCTGTAAATTCATGCATACCTTTCTTTCTATATTTTGTTATATCATTCATTGTTTTTGTATTTAATATCCTATGGGATTTAATATATACTGTTTACGTTTATAAAGCATTCGTTTCTTGAAAATTGCTGAGATTTGTCTTTACTTTGATTTGATCATTATTCTTTAACTGATAGTTATATAATTCTTCGCTGTACTTGTTTAGTTAACTGCTTGTTGGCCGACCCTTTTACTGTAACTTTTACTGTCAATGATTCTCTGTAATTTGGTTACTTTAGTTGCATTAGTATTGTGCTCTTACAAATGGGTTCTCTATCAATATTTGCAGGAGAAAAAAGTTCTGAAAACGACGGACACCGAACATGGTTCTTACCAAAACTCTTCTCGGTTATCGGGAAAAAAAATATTTAGTTGGAAATTCAAGTAAATTTTGCTATTGTGTTCTAATCTAATTGTGGCTATTTTATTTAAATTTGTGGACAGGGTCACCATTGGGGTTTGGTCCCACGGTACCTTTGCCAGACAAAAAGTTTTTGGTGTTCATTCTTGACAGACTTCAAAAGTATGTTTTTCTTTTTTAGCTTTCTAGAAATTGATGTTTCTTTAGCACTGTTCAAATTTGATATTCTGACGGCCTATCTTTAATGGTTTCTTGAAATATAAATGCAGGAAGGACACTCATGGGGTTTTCTCTGAACCAGTGGATCCTGATGAGGTACTTTTATGGAAATGACATGTTCATTGCTGAAAGAATAGTTATTATTATTTAATTAGTTGATTTACAGCTAATTGTTACTTTGCAGCTACCTGATTATCATGAAATAATCGAGCACCCTATGGATTTTGGGACTCTGAGGAAAAAGCTTGATAATGGAATGTATAAGAACTTGGAAGAATTGGAGGTTGGTTCTGGATTATCTGAGCTTAGAATTTTTGGATTTGTTATTTCAATTTATCTCTTTGTTTGAAATCTCTTTTGGTGATGAAGTTGATTACAGATTCTATTATGCAAATTATCTTGAGATGTGGGATTGTCTGCTTGTCTTCATGGGAATTTAGATGCTTCTCTTCTGTCATATTGAAATTATTATGCTTGTTAGACTTTTGAGTTTGAAACTTTTTCATTGTGTCCCTCTTATGGACATTGATCTAGAATAGATAGTAGAATTAGCATATCACTCTTTTCTTTAATTGATTAATCTACATCTATGTGAACTAAGTAGCCGTACTTCTGGATTCCATTATAGTTTTACTGTGCTAATTTTATTGTGATTAATCTTCCATGATGCTGTGATCTACATTATTATTATTCGAGTCTGTCTTTTGTCCTACAAATTGATGGGAATCTCACAAATCTGTTTGGTTGAATAACAAAAAAATTGTAACGATTTTTCTTGGTTGAAGAAGATGGAGACTCTTATTCTTTTCTTTAATTAGTTGGGGTGAGTGGTTCACTCTGATTATTTTCATTGTTTTTGACTTGCACGAGGATGTGCC